ATCTTGCTAAACAAAGAAGCTGCATCAGCCGTGCGATGCGACATCGAAGACCCAGCTTGGTACCAAGTCGAGCCATTCCACAAACCTCACACATGGTCTGGCGCTGGATTACCAACTGATCCATTGTGGCACGGGGCATCCACACCACCTGGTATTGATCCGAAGGTTTGCGGCCATCTACCGATTTAGGTTCCAGAAACACACCTGCAAAACCAGAAAATTCCTGCACCACATGTTGAAGGTTGTCTGGGATTCTCAAGTGCACAGAAAACACCTCAGCTTCTGTTGGCGGACAACTGGCAAAGCGTAGCTTCATCCATTGCTTACTCCATACTTCAACCACTGGTGCATCTAAAGGCGACTGCTCAGGGCGATGCCAAGCCTCACAGCCTGGACATTCCACATCGTCACACACCTGCAAAGGCGGGATCTTGGCAAAGATGTGCTTCATAGGATGAGCAGTGACATCATGCCATGGTTCTGTAGTCAGGTCTCGGTAAACCATTGCCTTCACCACACATGTCGGGACCGTTTGAACTGAGCATTCAACACTAGCTGGCTTACGTCTCACCGGTACCATACCAAACTGCACAAATCCATCAACCAACAACGGCTCTGAATTTGCTGCGCACACAAGAGGCACCCGACAAGCTATGACCTCAAGCTCAGTACTGGGCGGATCAGTACCATCAACCAAGAAAAAACCCAAGGCACCAGTCGACAAAACCTTGCCTGCCCTCAGATAAGGCAATGCCAAAGCAGTAGAGGTCAAAACCACGCCACTGACACCACCAGTCCCTGCTGACAAATTGGCCAAAAGCACCTGAGAAAGTGCAACACCGTTGTCACTCTGGAAAATTCCATGATCAACACGCAATGCATGGGGATCAATGCAGGCCACTGGTCGGCCCTTGGAGGAACCTTTCGCCTTTTGTACCTTATGTCGCTTGTTGCCAACCTGCTGGTTAGTTTGGCGATCAATGGTTGTTTGCAACTCAGAAGGTTTAATGAGCATGAGAGGAGGACGCAATTGATTGGCATGCCACTTAAGCTCCTGCCATGGGTTGGTGGCCCCCAAAGCCTGCTGCACCACATCAGCTCCAAGTTGTTGAGTAATGGTCTGCACCCTAGCAGGGACTTCTGATATCTCCACCCCATGTTTCACCAGCAATTCACCCAAAAATCCAGGAGAGGAAAGTCCAAGAGCAGCCAAACGGGGACGCAGACACATCTCAGAAAGAAACCGATCTCTGAAAAAGCCAACAGCCAAATCCAACTCAGCCTCCGTACGCACCCGAGCAGAACCCCACAACAGATGCCTCACAAAGTCCAAGGCCAACGCACCACAATGACCTACCGGGGAAAAATCCAAAGCGACTGAGTGCCAAGGCTGAACCTCTGCTGTACGATGCGCGCCCACAATACTGTTCAGAAAATCCAAGCTGGGCACATGAGACTGTTGAACCCCACATGAGAACAACTTGGAAACATGACCATCCAACCGCCAAACCAAAGGGAACCAATGATTATCCAAGGCAACAGCTGAAACGACTGTGGCAATCTCACCAAGGGGCTCAATCAACTGTTGCCACGTCCTGCTGTTACTGTCCACTAGGAGTCCTGTGATCAACAAAGGGTCCCAAACCGCCACCTTCTGTTCTGGATCTGTGTGCAACGCAAGATGCTGAAGTCCAAAGAGCAATTCATCATCTCGCCAGATGGGACCTTGTTTAGCCAAAGTGGCCAGTCTCTCACTGTGAGGAACAAGCTCCGCACGGACATGCTGCAACTCCGCACATGTGGTCACTGCATACACATTCCAATCACTGCTAACAACCGCCTCACCATCCCGACCAGCACACACAGAAGGAGCTGGCGGAAATCCAGGGCCATACCAGACTTGAGGGGCAAATCCAAGTCCATACCCACTCCAGCCACAGCAACCTGACAGGACGACACCCCATGGAGCTGAGTTTCGGCAGCCAAAACCTGCCGGGCAGTAACAACCGATGAACACTTGATGGACAACGGCACTGTCTCAAACTGTGGCCACTGAACACAGATATGATACCCTTTCAAACCAGGCTCATCCTCGTCAGGGTGTTCAGATTCTGGCACGGTGAGAGGCACACTAGGCAAGATGGGACGAGGCCACCTCAACTCACACTGAGCCATGACATGCTTTGCATACCCAGTTAGTACCTGCACTGGGTCCAACACTTCAGCCTTGCCAAAAAAGACATCCAAGTGCCGACGGAGGTGACAAAAGATCCACAACGCAGTCAAAGGAGCAACACACTGCCCAATGCCTGCCATGGCCAGTCGCAGGTTTGAACCAAAATCGACATTCATGTCCCCTCCAAGCAGCCCCCACATTTCATCAGGGTGGAGGTAGCGCGCTTCTTCCATTTGTTGATTGCCATGAACCAAGAACTGACCTAGAGGCACCAAAATTCCAAGCAACCCTCGCTGTTGAAGTCGGGATTCACTCAGTGCCTGCCTGCAACCACAAGCACACATGTACAAGGCATTTCCATGACTGTGCAAAAAGGTGGGTGTCTTTGCATCAAGATCAAACCATTGACGTTCCATCCCTCCAGAGGAGTATCGATAATACTTAGCCAGCTCATACAAGTTCAGCTGCAACTGAGTCAAATCCTCTGCACTGCACTTGGCATACACTGGCATGAGGTCACGTGGAACATTGCACAAACCAATTTGCGGCATGGCAGGCAGCTCACAAGGCCCCAAAGCAGGAGCCATCAACAAAGCAAACCAACGGTCACGTCTGGAAACCCATGCATCACTCAAGCGCAAAACTGTCTGGGTAAGGCGGTACCCTGTGGACCTGGCAAAGCTTGTCAACATGGCCTGCACCTGTGCATCTTGCATCATCTGGGGAACACATTCCAGCAGGATGATAACCGATTGCAACAAACAACCCAAGTTCAAGGTTTTTGGCAGTGAACTGGAGCGAGGGTCATCCATGCCTCCCAGTTGGCTGTGTGCATTACATGAGACCCCTGCAGCTAACATGCAATAGAAACCACCATGCGAGGCAAGTTCAACCATCGTCTCAGTCGCTCCAACATCATGCACCACAAAAGGGACATGCTGACCATGAAGTTTGGCATACAAGCTCGCCCAGATTCCATTATGATCTACACCGGCCACAGGCTGCATGTTGACATGTGACAAAACGCTGGTGAAGGCACCAAGTCCACACCACACTTCAACTACCCTCTCCAATGAACCCTGGGGGCTACTGGGAACTGGCAAGACCTGTGTAGTGGCATCGACATGGACTGAGACTGGACTGACCGACACGACCAAGGCATCTAGGATTACTACTCCGGCTGCAAAGGGCAGGGAGCCCCGCACTCGAACTTGCTGAGCTGTGCGTTCAGCTGACTGGACTATGTGATTACATTCAACCCCTTTAAGGTCATGACACACCATACGAGCTACAAAATGGATTCTTTGCCCCAGTTGCAGACTTCCCCAGTCAACCAAACTGCCCATCGCTAAGCCACAGATCGAAACGACCCTCAGGGTGTCAGATTGCACAAGCTCTACCCCTGGAAGGTCCCCTGAGCCAGAACTTCTGAAAAATATTAGTCAGTTTCCACTTTCCCGTTGGCTGTCGCGTTCGAGCACGACGATGATCAGAGCCTGCTTGGCGTGCTCTGGCCATCAACTTTTAACAGATAACAAGCAGACTGTGCTGCACAGTATCTGCACATGTCACTGATGCACAGCGAGAAGACATAGAAGCGGTGCCAATCAAAGCCACGAGGCTGGGATTGACACACAACAACAACGAAAACCTCAAAAGCAGGTGGGCACCATGGTGAGCACCCAGCTGCCTTCCATTCAAGCTGCTGTGCGCCTAAGTCAAAACAAAATAAAATATATAAATAGCAGCACAGGTGGCTGCAATACGATCACATGTGTTGATCAAAAAACAGCCAGGGCTGCGTGATCAAAGCTCAAGCCGTGGGCTGTGCCAGGCATGGATAATCAAACACCTACTGAAGAAAAATGCACTGCACAAATTATGACATGTCGCAGCCAAACCTCCACGTGTGCAAGACCCTAGGTGCGCCGTGAGCTGTCAGGGCACCAGGGACCTGGCACAGTGGTGTCGTGGTGTTATCGTTATCGCATTCAGAGTGGGATCGTCGATCCTGTTCAGCACCGATGGCTAGAACCGAAATGGATCCACTCAAATTCACCAGTGTGTGCTCCTAGGTGTTCCATGAGGAAACCAAGGGCGCTACATTGCAACGCTCATCTGATGCCAAATGCAGAGGTTTGACCGGCAAATACATTGATTGCAGAGAAATACCCTAAAATACCAGCAATTGACGAGGCCAACGATGACGAAGATGCGCTGACCTCTGCCAGAACAAGACATGCACATCAAACCGGCCGGTGAAAGGCCACCGACCCTAACCAAGTGTTGCTGACACCACACTGTGATTTCCACCTGATCGTGGCTCCGACAGCGTGGTCGGCCTCGCACTATGTTCACCATGAAAACGCCACCAGAAAGCCGAGCTGAACGGCAACTGAGACGGCTTGTGCCATCTTCCATGTACACCATCACAATACCAATCGCGAAGTCACCCGCTACTGGTTGAGTAACCTGTTTGTACCATACATAGCACCCATTGGCTCCATGCCGGCACACTCTCGCAAGACCGGCGGCAGGAGGTTCAAGGCTTATCTGCATACTGTAAATACTCGCCCTGGATGTTGAATGGAAATCAGCATCTTGTTCAAGGACAACGGAAGATAAATTGAAACAACTCAGGGTTTTCTGTTGATGCCTACCTACGAGCTGGGACGCTCCCTGAGACAAACGGCTGAAAAATATTAGTCAGTTAGGATGATTATTCCCAATATATGGAAAAATAATCCGAATGTTCCTTAAACCACCAACCAGCTTTTATGGATGGCGTAACATTCCCGCAGAAACTCCCTGGCTTGCAAGGCACACCAGAGCCACCCAGGAGGGCACGAGTTGATCCAAAAAGACCGGCAATGCCTAGTCGTTTGGCTTCAGACATGCTACTTGATTGGGAGTTTCATGGGATATTCATGGGATATTCATGGATAATGGGATATAGTTGGAGATACACATGGAATTTAATGGGAGTCTCATGGGATATTGTTGGGACATTTTATCCATGGTAGTATTACATTCGTACCCGATCAATATTGATTATGTCTGATTATAATTCTAATAGTATCATGGGACAATATGTGTATTTAAAAATATATATATACAGTATGTGTATATATATATATATGTAAATTGATCTGAAATGAGGTGAATTTGGGATGATTCCCTATACCAACCATCATTCCACTGAGGTTGCAGTGAGGTCGTTATAATTTATTCTTGTTGATGGGATAAAACATAATAATGATGATGGGAAGAAGATTAATATATATATATATATTATATATATATTAATGGAAGATTAAAGGCATGTCATTAACATGATCTACTTACCAACATTTATCATCATTTAGCTTACCATCGGCAAATTTGGGATATTCATGGAATTTCTGTATATAACATGATAAAGTTATTTTTTTAAGATCAACAATATACAGATATCATATTAAATATATCGGGGATATTGGGATACTATTAAAAACATCTTAAATCATCAACAATAATATGCCCATTGTAATTTTAAATGATCAACATCGGGATATTCCCAATGATATGCCCAATATCCCCATTATTATTACATATATTGGGCATATCATTGGGACAATTTTATCCCACGTCAACAATACGGGCGCAATCACTGCGGGGATCCTCCATGAATCAACCATGTGTCATGAGTTATGTTTGGGTTACCCGGCCTGGTAAATGTTTACATAACGAAGTGGAAAATCACTATTTTAAATGACATGGTCAAAGCGAGGTTTAAACACTATCCCGAAACGCTCATATTTCCTGGAAAACGAAGCTTCCATGGAATCAGTAGTTTAATCGCGGAAAGACTGGGGAGATCACATTCCCCTTCGCAACTGAATCACCAAACGTCTGAACCCAAAGCTCGCGTCTCGCGTCAGCACAAGCTGTGTAGAACACGGTGGGCCACTGCGCACGCGAGCGCCGCGTGCTTTGAAAGACAAGCCCTCTGAACTCTTCCAGATATCTAATCATCTCTCGCCATACCAGGTCTGCTGGTAGCCATATGGCATTTGTTGCATCTGGTTGGACCACATCTGATTCATGCCCTGGCCATGTGGCGGAGCATTGCCCTGCCGGGCTGCAGGTGGCACCGGGCGGAAGTTGCCACACTTGTTCACCTGCCAGGGCGGATATTTGATCCGAGAAGAAGCCAACAAGAAATTCTGAATGGCTATCAGAAACCAACCAAAAACGGGTCTGAAAAATAGGGCATGACCAAATTTGATGGTTGATCGTCATTTTTCCTATTGAAGTGACCATGTTGGGGGCATCTCCTATTTTCGGACAATCCCCCAATGATTTTCCCAAGGCTCAAAGGATGCTTCCCTGGCTGTTTGATGCTATGGGAATAGTTGGACCACCTTGGACTTTGAGGACTCTTAGAGCGTTTCAGCAGTGGAATGGTTGCTCTGTCCATGGGCATGAGAAAGCTGGGAAATCGTTGGAAACAGTTGAAAAAACACGGATTCACAATTTCCATCTGCACTTGTGTCCTGAAACATGTTGGAAATCGCAAGCAGAGTTTGAGTTCTGCAGTCCCGGCCTGTTTGCTCATTGTAGTAGTAGGGCTGCCCTTGCTGAGTGTGGTAACGCAGCAGATGCAGATGGGCATGGGACAGGTAGATAACCCAAGGGCTTTGCACAGGAGCCATCTGGCCCATCTGTCCCATGCCCATCTGCATCTGCTGCTGCGTCATGGCCTGTTGTTGCATTGCCATCTGCTGCATCACCTGCAGGATTTCAGCAGCATTTTGAATTTGGTCTGGCTAAGAATCTTAAACGCCAGCTGAAATAATTGTAATCTTAAAGCCAAGTGGCAGTGCTCAAAAGCCTCTGTCATGCCTTTGTACTGGATGATGAATAGGGATTCCGTTGGTGGAATATTACTATCCCCAAGGTATAGGTTAGTATGTTCTGGGTTTTTTCGCGAGCTTGCGGGTTCGTAGGGAATAAGGTCTGCCGAAGTGCATAAGACTGAACCAGGTGGACCAGCAGAACAATAAGAATTTCCAGTTTCAATCTGGCCTTGGAAAGAATATTCGTGACACTTTTGGTAAAGATCTTTACGCAGTCTGTAAAACTTTAAGCCCGACAAACTCCGACGAACTTAACCTTGCGCGCAAAGATGTCCAAACATTTCCTACGTGTGTTTTGACGTTTTCGCCCCTAAAACGCATGGAAAAACAGCACGCAGAAAGTAAAATCGCATTTTTATAACCAGTTTTTCCACTTTGGCAACAACATTTTCACGTAGCAAATTCGGCCCCGACGAACCCCGACGAACTCCGGCGAACTCCGGCGAACTCCGTTCCTGGGTCATCTCAGAAATTTGATTTCTATTTTTTTCCTGATTAGTTTTAACCTACCACAAAGCGACACACAGCGCCTGAATGCCAAAGTTCCTTCCCAGCTGCTACCAACAAGGACGGGGTCAGGGTCATACCTTGTGTTCTAGAAATCCCTTATTCCCAACGAACCACGTTGCTCGCGAAAAAGACCAGTATGATCCCCATGGACAACTCTACTTTTAGAGGGGGGGATGGTAATACATTAAAATTACTAAGTAGGGCTATGAGTATGGTTAAATGATAGGGTTTCGCGCTTCATCCCAGAGCAGCAAAAGGGGGCAAACATGGGTTTCAATCCAGCGTGTCCTTATTCCATACCTATGCCACAAGAGTCGGGCCCCGAACTTCAGGCCCCGAACAGGGTGCCCCCAGGCAACTTTGTAGCAAAGGCATGTACGCAGAAGCACATGTAAGTGAATTCTGATGATGTAATCAAATGTTTTTTGGCATACCTGTGCCACAAGAGTCGCGCCCCGAACTTCGGGCCCCGAACTGCGGGCCCCGAACAGAGTGCCCCCAGGCAACTTTGTAGCAAAGGCATGTAGAAGCACATGTATGTGAACTCTGATGATGTAATCAAATGTTTGTTGGCATACCTGTGCCACAAGAGTCGGGCCCCGAACTTCGGGCCCCGAACTGCGGGCCCCTATCTTCGGGCCCCGAACTTCGGGCCCCGAACTTCGGGCCCCGAACTTCGGGCCCCGAACAGAGTGCCCCCAGGCAACTTTGTAGCAAAGGCATGTAGAAGCACATGTATGTGAACTCTGATGATGTAATCAAATGTTTTTCGGCATACCTGTGCCACAAGAGTCGGGCCCCGAACTTCGGGCCCCGAACTTCGGGCCCCGAACAGAGTGCCCCCCAGGCAACTTTGTAGCAAAGACATGTGCAAGACTACGTATGTGAGCTTTGATGTGCTGACTCTCATTTCAGATGCCTTTGAGCATATCACTCAGGCATGAAGATGCCCGAGCAAACAAACGTTATCGCTTGAGCGAAGATCAATTCAAGAAGATTGCTTTGTATGATGGCCTGGTCCAGGATGATGATATATTTCCAATGTTTCGGCGGGTGCGACAATGTTCTTCTATGGTGTCTCCCACAAGGACCATCCTTGAATGCTAGATGACATTAAATGACTGCCTTTAGTTATGGACTAGCCCTCGTTTAAATCCTGAGGATTTAAGCAAGGCAGGCCTCTTTTCAGCAAGTCAACACAGGTTGCCTCGCCATATTTCCCTCTGCCTCGTTTAAATCCTCAGGATTTAGCCAAGGCAAAGCTAGTCCATAACTAAAGGCAGTCATTTAATGTCATCTAGCAATCTAGCATTCAAGGATGGTCCTTGTGGGAGACACCATAGAAGGACTAACAGCATTCAAGGATAGTCTCTGTGGGATTTGCCCAGGTAGAAGGACATTGGCAATTGATTTAGGATTCTATCATCATCCCTGTCGGAGAAAGCCATTGTCAATTGATTCAATTCAAGGATAATCCTGGTAGGGGAAAACCATTGTCATTCCTACAGGTACTGACGTCCCGAGCGCCTTGTAGCTCACTTTTCAGAAGGGACACCAAAGGGGGCTGTGCCTTGCACGCCCTTCACTACTTTCTGACATGGCAATCAGGATCCGGGCCAAGTACCAAACCCGAGGGAAGGCGGAAGCAATGTGGCTAGGGTTGAAAGAAGCTGCATCATCATGCATCTCTGAAATCGGATCACTTCCCCGCTTTCTTGACGACTTGGATCTTCTTTCTTCTCTGACTCTCTCTTCTCTGACACTCTCTCTTCTGACTGCAGGATGAGACTTTGAATGGTGAAGAGCTGATTCCCATTTCCGTCTGGGAGATTGACAGTAAGTTCTTGTTGCTTCCAGAGCACAGAGCCCGAGACGGAGCGGAAGGCTTGAGGGAAGAGGAGCAGTGGTACCCGGCAACCCGGCGACCCGGCGACCCGGCAACCCGGCGACCCGGCAACCCGGCAACCTATAATAGAAAACGAGGAGAAAGAATAGAGTAGAGGAGAGAGAAAGAGAGCAGAGAGGATAGAGTAACATAGAGAAACAAAAGAGGCTGAGAGGAAAGAAATGGAATGAAATGGAAAGAGAAAAGGGGTTAAAAAGACATAAAAAGACTACAGGGAACAAAAAGAGAAAACAGGAAACAAAAGATAATGAAAGAAGAGGAAAAGATAGAGAATGCAAGAGTAAAGCGGAGGAACCCGGCAACAGAGGAAAAGATCATGTTAAATATACCATACCAAAAGAAACCTTACATTTCCTCAGGTTTCTCAGATTGATGTATTATCACATGGGGGTACAGCCCCCCTCCAATACAAAAGTTAAGTCACGGGGATCCAGTATGTTCCCCCAAATAAAAATCATCAACCAACAGGGTGGATCGCATGGCAACATTTCAGGCCTTGGACGTCCAGGTCATTTCAGGCCCTGCCTGTTGCTCGTGAGCTTGCGGCCTATGCGATAGCTGCACACTGTGCAGCTATCGCATAGGCCGTGTAGGTCTCCTGGGGGGCTCTTCCGCCACCAGTGGCTAATGGGGAAGGGAGGATTGTAGCGGAGATTCAAACCTTCGTCAATGGGGATTTAACATCAACAAAAACGTTTTTTCTTAAAGAAATTCACATAAACAATGGTTCTGGGATATCATGATCCACTATCAATTAGGTAGTGTAACCGCCTCGAAAATACCAATCACCAATGCTATTTTCAATGGCTCACATCTCCTGAATAGGATGATCAACATCCACATATCTATCCAACCCCCTCATCCAAACAGGACCATAGTTGGGCTTTCTTTCATGCGATATCCAGGTTTTATCCAGTTCACCATCCTATGATCCCGTTGGGCTCCTGCATCTGCAGCACATAGGCTTGCCACGCCAACTGCTTCAAGTCATCGTGGAAGCTCAGCGGCCACGTGGACGCCTCATGCGGCAGCTCCAGCGTCTCGAAGGTGGTGGGGTCCACATCGATGAGGGCCTGGTTCTGCTGCTTCTTGAAGTGTTCCCCAAAGGTGTCCACTACGGTGTCCTCACTGGATGGGGGATGGCGGTTGAGGAATGAGGCTGGATGATTTTGAAGGGAAAGCGGAAAGGAATATGGATTGGATGGTGAAATCTGGAAATTCCGAATTTTGAAGTCGTATAAACATCATAGAACAAGTGTATCGTCTTTGAACCAATTTCAGGTCATGATGAATTAAGCCAAAATAGCGACATCCCACACCATCATCCCGTTTTGCACACTTAAAAACACAATCTTTCCTCAGTGACATCACTATTTTCTGACCGTTTTTTTCCATCCCACCATCCCATCATCAACCATCTCTCACGGGCAAGTTGAACCAAGTCTCTGCTCCAGCCTATCCACTAAGGTCAATGGTAGATTGGATAGGCTGGAGCTCTGTGCCCAGCTCTTTCTCGATGCGGTACAGGTTGAAGCGGTCATCGTATGTGACAAAATTGATGCCCAAGCCCGGGTGACCAAAGCGGCCAAAGCGGCCAATGCGGTGCAGGTAGGTCTCGGAGTTCTTGGGGAAATCGAAATTGATCACCACGTTCACACTTTGGATGTCAATGCCTCTGGTAAAAAGGTCTGAAGAGACCAAACATTGGCACGGTCCGGTCCGGAAGTCGTGGAAAACACGATTCCGGTGAGACTGGTACATGCGCGAATGGATGAAGAAGCATGAGAAGCCAAGCTCTGTAATCTTCTCGGCAAGCAACTCCACAGGCGTCACGGAGTTGCAGAAAATGATAGCCTTCTTGATCTGCAACTTGGCAAATAAGGTGTTGAGGCAGTGAACCTTCTGGCACTCCTCCACAAAAGCATAGTACTGGGACACGCCCTTGAGGGTAAGCTTGTCCATCAAATTGATCGCATTTCAAGCAACATTTTTTTTGTTGTGTGTGTCAGGGGTCAGGATCAAAAACATGGGTTCATCAAATGACAATGGGCGGCCAAACTTGCCAATTATATTGATAAATAATATTCCATAATGATATCCAATGATTGTTACATTCCGCATCATTCACATCCAAACCTTGAATTTGGGGTTTCCTAAAATACAGGAACCCAACATTGTTTTTTCCCATTGATCAAAAGCAGTGACTTGGATGATTTTGGGGTACTCGGGTATGCCTCCATTTCAGATTCCTCCAACAATACCACCACTTCCGGAGCGTCTGCCCAGCCACGATAGGCGTACCGAAACCAATGCAAGGCCGCATCCTCATCGCCACGCTCAAAATAGGCGCTGCCCAAGTTGGTACGTGCAACAGCATTCCTGGAGGGAACTCGGGGTGCTGCACATTTCCATACATTTCCATGAAATTCACCTGGTATGTTGTTTCTTTTATGATTATACCGATGCCCCAACAAAAACAGAAAAGTCCTTTGTGACCACTTTTTTTTCGGACTTTTTTACGTGTCTATCTTTCTGGGGATTACTATAATACTGTATCTGCTTTCCTGTGAACCTCTGCCATGTTTGACTCATTGGCCAAGCTGTCGGCCTGCATTGAAACTGTTTGAATTCTCAAGCGCCACCGTTTTTGATGCAATTCTCTTGCATCCCAGCTTGCTTCAAGCAAACTCGAGATCAAACCTACTCGTAAAAGCCTTAAATCACTCAAGATCTTCCCTGATCCATCTCAATACTGTAAGAAACAGAAAATTGAAATTCTTTCAATTTTGGCTTCGAGCGGCCTCACATCTTCCCGATTATACTGCTTGTGCGTCGGAACTCGAGGATGTAGCTTCCCAGCCATTCCAACTAGAGACTAACTAGGGAACGTTCTGAACTGTTTTTGCCAATCTCTTACAAAATGACGCAAAATGCACCCTAACGTCATACAAGTTCATCCTCTTCCCACATCTCGATTGGTTGAAGGGAAGGCTGTCATGATTGACAGGGAAGCATATTGGAACCACAGAACGCGGTTTCAAGTGTAAAATGTCCCTTCAATTTTTCAAACTTCATCAGCTGGTAATAGTTGGTCCTGGGCACCCGGTTGCAGACGCTATGAAACTCGCGGATTGCTTCTTCAATCAATCCGCCTTTCATGCAAAAATCTGGTTCCCCGCTGGGTACCTCGAATGGCCGAGGGAAATGTCGTGACACGGATCCCCGTGTCGAATGTCTTTTGACTCAATGGCCATTTCCAAGGAGATTATCTGGTTTTGGGGATGTTTGGGGAATGTTCTTATGCTGGATTTCAGGGATATGGATGGATATGGCTCCATCAAACCTTGCACAAAACATGCACTGGAAGAACAACCACCGAAACAATCTGACGCTCGATTGAGGTTCTCTTTCGACATGCAGGGTAAGAATGCATGATTGAAACTGCCAATTTATTTCAGACTCTCATGATCTCAGTTCCCGCACATCTTCGGATTTCTGAAGTACAACGCCAAATCCATCCGAATTCATAGATAACATATTGCAAAAAAACACCTGGATCTCTCAAAATATTTTGACCAAATATGGTCTCTCTGAAGTCTCTCTCTCTCTCTCTTGTTTTTTGCTATTTTCTCTTGGGCTCCCTGCCTCCGGATCGGCATCGCCCAGCGGGCTCACGTCAAACAAACTCGCCAACACTGAATCCAAAGGCTGTCGATCACGGCCAGGTCCATAGCATGAGCCACACGAGCTCAATGCTTGTCATGTCATGTCCATGGGGAGTTGGAGGGGTCCCACAGCAATCGATTTTTCAGGGAAAAGTTGGCTTTTGGGGTCTCCCAGCCCAAGAAATATGCATCAATCATGATGGAACGCTTGGAAATCTGGGCCCCATATTGCTGCCAAGCTTTGCCAAGCTGCAAGTTGGTTGGCCCTCTCCAGAAATTCGTGAATGCCAGCCACAAGCGACTGCATGGTCAGCAACTACGCCTGGAATGTGCTAGTCCTTAATTACATGAGCGGACCACCTCATGCAGCTCTTGAATGTTTCCACAGAATGCACCTGCTGAAATTTGAGCCATCACTGCTGCTGCATTCCAACATGGAGCAGATCCTGCCCTCCTCCAACTGGAAAGGATCCCAAGCTACCCACAAAAAAAACCGCAAGGTCCATCGCCAGGCCCATCTTTTCAAAACGATCTTATGCGGTGTCAGGGAGTTTGTCGGTTGAAATATATACAATTACACACTGTGTGCGCGTCGGTGCAAACGGGCTCATCAGTTGTTCTGGAGACATGCGATGTATAGTAAATCCACTATAACTATGGAAAATCACTGTACTAAATGGGTAAATCCACTATTTCTATGGCAATGTTCAATAGCTATTTTGACATAACCAGAGGGTATATAACGTAATATAACTATATACCATAGCAGTGTGCTCTGTTAAATGCGAGAACAAACATAGAACCTGTTGAATTATGTGGTAGAACTCCATGGTTTGAGTTTTCCTGTTTTCTCTTTAAGCACTTCAAGGAAAATGGGATGTTTTATTGTTTTCATTGCATTACTATTGCAGTTTTTGATGACTGTGATAATTTCCCTACCTCAATGAGAGTCTGCTCAAAAAAGGGGACTCTGTTGTGACCTAAATGGTGATTTAGATAATCCAACTATGTTTTGCAAAAATAGATCCAACTCATTTGAAATCATAGTCATAAAGTGTCATAAATTGCCATAAGTCATAAGAGTCTTGTTGTGCCTTCAAAATCGAAGACCTGGTTGGTGGTATACCTACCCCTCTGAAAAATATGAAAGTCAGTTTGGGATGATGAAATTCCCAATATATGGAAAATAATCCAAATGTTCCTTAAACCACCAACCAGAGACAGGATTTTTTTCATATGCTACCCACTAGCCTCTGGTAAACTCACATAGCTATGGAAGGTGGACCATGATGATTTACCCTCTGGCTATGTCAACGTAGCTAATTATTGAAAATGGCCATAGAAATTTCGTGGATTTACCCATTTTCATAGCATGGTGGATCTTTCCATAGCAAATGGGGCAGTTTACCAGAGGCTACCTATTATTGAAACCATGGTTTTGTTCTATAGCTATGTTGTCTGGTCGGTGGTTAAAAAAACATTTTGAAAAATATGAGTTCGTCAATGAGAAGAATGACATCCCATATATGAAATGGAAAATACACTCTGGTTATTTAACATAGCCATGGAAAATCACCATTTTTAATAGGTAAACCATCTATGAATGGGCCATTTTCCATGGCTATGTTAAATAACCAGAGGGTAATCCAAATGTTTGAAACCACCAACCCGTATAGTTTACCAGAGGGTATAGGACGCATTATCTAAACCACCACGAGGACGCAATCCGATCGAAATCGATCCGCCTCATTGGCCACAGTGTTGAAGAGCAGTAGAGTCACTAGGAGCAAATGGTGGTCCTCACCGGTGGATTCGTGGTTCTTGTTGTATTTGATGGTAAAAACAAAAACATGGTTTCCTGTAGATTTTCCCATCATCCAATCCATTGTTGTTGTTGTTGTTGTTGTTGTTTTTTTTCTTGCTCTTCTTGTTGTTGCTGATGTTGTGAACAATTATTGAACTTCTTTGTACCGCCGACTGCAACAACTTCATGGTTGTTGGGTTTTCAAACCAACATGTGTTTTATGTACAATAGAACAACTTTGACGATTGCGACAGAAAATCTTGGTTACAATATGAAGCCAATTGTTTATTGATTAATCCATGACTTTCAACTGCTAAATCACCAGTTTGCGATGTGCCACCCACGTTCAATGGCCGACTGAGGTGGTTCAACGGATCGTGGTGGCTTAGTTCACCCTGGTGGATTAACCCTACAAGGCGGTGCCCCGTTCGGAATCGCTAACTTGGGGGACAAAACTCCAATTTCACTAGGGTTTGTAGGGGATATAACTAGGGGATATAAGTGGCTTAACTGTGGTTTATGGTAGATATAACTATAGATAACTATAGTTATTATGGTTTATGAACCAGCTTATAACTGGGGGGAAACCACCTTGCACAAAACTCCCACTGAAATACTGGGGTGAACTAATCCACTTACGATCCGTGGCAACCAAGTAATGTGGGAAAAACAATGCCATTTATACCAACGATTGGGAATGGTAAACATATGTAACATACCACCTATAAACATGGTGAGTCATTGGGGATGGTTTGTGGCATAATTTTGCCAACATCATACCCTCTGGTAAACTAACATAGCTGTGGAAAATCACCATCTTTAATCGGCAAATCGACTATAACTGTGTCATTTTCAATAGCAATGGAACAAATTGCCAGAGGGTATCCCCATATATTCCCATGACTATCCCATAAAACCATATAAGACCTCCATTTTCCCATTATATACCCTTTCTTTTTTCCCAAGGTTTCCCGAGGTTTCCCTACAAGGGCCACGGGAAACCTAGTCCTTGACCAGGGGCAAGATACGCGAGGCGCATTGCTGTTCGAGGCGCAAGCGTTGTCGTTCCTCGGTCATGTGAAACAATGGTGGCTTCACGGTTTACCCAACTAATATATCATGGCAAAGTACAGTAATGGGATGTATATAATGGGATATATATATATATAGTATGTAAGGTTTCACGGATTTACGCGATTTCGTGACATCATGGGAATATAATGGAATACATACATACATACATACATACATACATACATACATACATACATACATACATACATACATACATACATACATACATACATACATACATACATATACATATATACATACATACATACATACAACATACATACATACATACATACATACATACATACATACATACATACATACATACATACATACATACATACATACACATACACATACATACATACATACATACATACATACATACATACATACATACATTACATACATTACATACATTACATACATTACATTACTACATTACATACATTACATACATTACATACACATACATACATTACATACATACATACATTACATTACATTACATTATATTACATTACATTACATACATTACATTACATTACATCACATTACATTACATTACATACATACATTACATACATTACATACATCATTACATACATCCATACATACAAGTACATCCATACATTTACATACATACATACAATTACATACATTTACATTCACTTACATATATTTACATACATTTACATACATTTACATGCAAGTACATACAATTACATTCAATTACATACAATTACATACAATTACATGCAATTACATACAATTACATACAATTACATACAATTACGGGCAAACACCTCGATTTGCCCGCGCTTGTCGGCGGCCATCTTCGTATGTGCTGAAAACGTGGTAAAAATGAGAGTTTTTTGCATCATGGCTAACTTCATGTTGTATATCGGCACGCACAGCATAGGGACCTGTGCGAGTCTCTTACAGATCATCATCATCATCATCATCAAACCCTTATTGAAAATCTTCAACGAATGTAGAAGTTTAACGGGGGTGGGAGAATTAAACCCTTATTGAAGATCTTCAATGAATGTAGAAGTTTAACGGGGGTGGGAGAATTAAACCCTTATTGAAGATCTTCAATGAATGTAGAAGTTTAACAGGGGCGGGAGAATTAAACCCTTATTGAAGATCTTCAATGAATGTAAAGTTTAGCGGGGGTGGGAAATTTATATTCTCTAAATACCCTCGTTGATCTTCCCAATTGAATGTAAAGTCTTTGATATCCCCAAGTGTACAGCATAGAAGGGGTGTGGGCGAATCGGGGTGTTTGCGCGTACAATTACATTCAATTACATTCAATTACATACAATTACATACAATTCAATTACATGCAATTACATACAATTACATACAATTACATACAATTACATACAATTACATACATACATACATACATACATATATATATATATATCTATCTATATCTATTGGAATATACTAAGTAGCTGGGCCCATGAACACAACCAGTTCAGCCCCAAAAGTTAGGATCTCACCTTTAGTTTCTGTTCATTTTCAGTATTCCCTCAAGATTAAAGATGTTCCAAGACCTGCGTCCAGAACATGATCTGGTAATTTTCCAACATGGAGGGTATCCTAGACCCATGGGTCTCGTACTGGAACAAATTGGTGTTTAATGATTTTTGGTCTATCCGTGCGATTATATATATATACTATACAAATGATGATTCAATATATCAAGATCCAGATATGTATATAATTATATATATGATATAATATCACATTATACATATATAAATATATATGATATAATCTCAAATCATGATAAAATCTAATATGATCCAATATGGCTGTTAAACGTCATCATTACTTTTCATTCTTAAAAACGATGGGTCAACACCGGCGTCCGAGTCACCTCTGACGTCAGGCAATCCTGCAGCGCAAAAGGGCTGGAGATTATGTCAGGAGCTGATGTTATTCAATATATCTAATATTTAATCTATATATACCTGAAAGAAATTCATATCTTTAATCTATATCTTATGTTTAATATATTCAATATATATATATATATTATATATTGTAACACGAGAAAACTGCTTTGTGTGCCCTGCCCCAAGTAAACACAAGAGATATGGCGGCGCGGTCGCCTATTTGCCACGGGCGCACTTGAGCCAAAGTCCGGGAACATGGATATATTGACCATGGACCCACTGGCAGTGCTATTGACACATCCCATGTCACAGTGCATGCAAACTGGATTCCTCGAACAATCATATTTTATGATTAGCGTTTTTGCAAAAGGTTAAGGATAGCATGCAAAAGTTATTCTGTTCCTCATGCATGGCGGAGCCAGGAAAAGGCTATCACACCAATTAGTCATGAATTCTTCTTCATGTTTCAGTCCAAGTAGGCATGTTTGGTGACACTAATTGCCGCTGCCACTGCTGGCAATCGCTCATCCACCTCCTTCATTGATTCCTTCAGCTCAGGGGTGACCTCTCCTGCTGTCACCGCCGCAGAGATCAAGGCCCCCATGGCGGAGCCCACCGACCTTGCAAGGGCGTCGTCTGTCGCGCCGTCCTCGTCAGTGGCCATCGAGACCGCGAGGTCTGCCGCAGCCTTCAGGACCGACTGGGAAGCCGGCTGGATCGCAGCACGGCGTGCCATGAGGACGGCATCAGATGTGCTCGACTCCGGAATTGGTGGAAACTCCTGAATTTATTATTCTGTAACATTTAATGATAAATGATTTGATGATGTGATATACCATTGTGTTTTTTATCATGATTTAATGATAAATCAGGACATGATTTAATGCTGGGGTTGACTTGGGCTTGGGATTCAATCATGATAATCATGATTTCATTGACATTCATATGGAAAAAACAATAATTCTGGTTGGTGGTATACCTACCCCTCTGAAAAATGATGGAGGTCGTCAGTTGGGATGATGAAATTCCCGAAAAATAATCCAGTTATGTTCCTCAAACCACCAACCAGAAATGATGATATGCTTTCACACTGGTTAAATCCCAATGTTGGCGCTGTCCCCATGTTTTGGACAATGGACCAGTCTCGACCTCAGCGACGTCGAAAGAGCTTTGAAACCCCCCACTTGGTGGCGTTCAAACCATGGGACCATGAGTGTTTTCTGTCTAAAAAAGCAACCCCCCAAATACATGTGTATATATATAAATATATTCTATCTTAATATATATATATAAATTATAAAATATGAAAGTAACATCCAACTGAAATAGTGATAAGGGATGTTTCTATATATGTTTTTTTCTTTGGCTTGCTATAGATGCTTTTCTGCTTAAAACCTCCCCGAACCCAGTCGTCCCCCTTTTGGTCGTCCAGTCCTCGGGTCGGGATGCCAGAATCACCTAGAAAGCCAAACGTCGGACACGTTCGATAGCAACAAACACAATGAGGATACTATAGATATTTAATGATATTTATAGTTGGTAATCATTGATTTGAGTCAAAATAAGTTGGTTTATAACTACCTTGGTTTATGGCGATGTTTATGAGAATTATAACTGTAATAGTGGGATTTTTTTTTGGTAATAAACCAACGCGATTTTCTGCACTACTACGTTGTGGGTCGTGGGATACTCTACCTCAGTTAATCCAGTCGGGGAAGTCAGGATTAGTCCGTGTCTAACTGGGATTATATCGATGGTCATTTCAGGATCCTAAATTGGAGGTACCTACCATATATAAGGCCAACAATTTTCAGGCCTATTTTTCAGGGAATATCCCCAGAAATCATATGGCCAAACATATGGTACGTTTACGTACCTCCATTAAAATGGATCCTGAAGATCTCCCCATTGATCAAAAAGCTCGTTTACGAACTGGGCTATGGCGTCACGGTGTGCATCCTCATGGAGAAAAAGATTAGTGGGCATGGAAAATCACCATTTTAAATAGGTAAACCATCTATTTCTATGGGCCATTTGCCATGATTACCATCTGGTTATGACTAACATAGCCATGGTATAGATGGCCCATAGAAATAGATGGTTTACCTAGCTATAAAATGGTGGACCTTTCCATGGCGAACTGTTATTCATAACCAGATGTTAAATTAATTATGGCGTTTCCTATTGGAACTCTGGATTTTCTTGCATTTTAGCCGTAAGATATGGGTTGACAGAATTGTACCCCTGATGCTCTTGCCATCAGTAGTCATCCATGTGCTTCTTCCACCATTCAAATGACTGGAAACCCTCTCTCGGTCTGTCTCAAAGAGAATATTTGAATATATCGTTGTATCATCATGAATCATCACATGTATTTTGTATGTTGTTATTTGTTCTACCATACATATATATATATATCATATATCTATAGAATATGTTTTATTATGTATTATTCATACACACTAGATATCACATATAGACATCTCCATTCTATTTCCATTATGTCAAAATGGACCATTATTTTTTTTGGTACCTTCTTTTGAGACACCAAGTCATTTTGCACATATTAGAGGTTCTAACTCATAACTAGCACCAACATCAACGATGGCAACCATTATATAACCACCAGATACCACCACATACCACCACTATACCAATATTGAGCATGCACTTCACCACCCACCAACCACTTTATAAACATGTGTTGACACATGGAGGTTTCACAAAATGGGGATTCTCAAAATCACAGTATTTCGCGCCTGCAGACCGAAAGGCTCCAGCGTGGCTAAACCCAGGGTCAGTCCAGCGGCCAAAGCAGCTGACAAAACCTGATCCGACAAACATGCCATAGATCTGGGGCTGCACTTGATGTTATAGATGGGTATAACCATGGTATTCTGCATGGTGTTTTTCATGGTTAAAACAACGTTAAAACATAGTACAATCGATTGGTTTGGGTATATCCATCGGGATGAGCCACATGGTGGGATGATCATGGGATGATGATCATGGGATAATCACTGTTGAACCACGTTTAACTACATTTATAATAGAGGTATAATATCTGAGGTATATGGAAATAATATGGGATACATCAGCATTTATATGGGAATAATATGGAATAATATCTGGGTTGGTGGTTTCAACCTACCCCTCTGAAAAATGATGGAGTTCGTCAGTTGGGATTATGATTCACAATATATGGGGAAAAAAAAACATGTTCCAAGCCACCAACCAGTTGTGTAATGAGGATATGTCATGGGGAATATCTAGATAGAGTATTAGATTTTCTATCATCATTTCACCAAAATTGGAATTTTCTATCATGGAGAATAACTCGCTTGTAAAATTTCTGGAATCAATGGGATATAACCAAGAATATGATTAATCCATTGATTCACTTAAGCCAGGATATTCTTTGATTATATAACTAGATTGTGAATGGAATAATCAATGGCCAAGAAGATAACTAGATTTATAAATATATGGCTTCATCACTTAATCCATTATGGCCATCATTTCACCATCAGGGAAGGGTGGAGAATTCTGAAGGCTGGTGCCCCAGATCTTTAGCTAGTTAGCAAGTAGATAATCCCACTGATACCAAAAAAAACTATTTTGGATTAGTTTCTACCCATCTAAGATTGATCATATCTGAGTTGCAAAAAAAAACAAAATACCACAACTCCAATGACGCCGCCAGTTTGCCGCCAAGGCACACAAATGAGTACCGAAATGACGTCGAGCCAAATCCTTGGAGCAAATTTGCATCATGGAGCCAAGCCTAGTAAAGAATGTGTATGTGAAAAATATAATATAATATAATATTATATATATATTTAAAAAAAAAACGTAAAAATACATTATGTGTAATATGCACATATATATATATTCTTATATATGTAATTACGTGTTTTAGTGCATGTTCCAATCCAAAAGACCTGGTATGGGATTTTTCACAGAGAAACACACCCAGGAAAAGCATCACCCAGGAGAAGCATTCCATCCTGCCAGAATCTACCCCAATTCTCATAGGATATGTCTACTGTGGTTTCAACCTACCCCTCTGAAAAATGATGGAGTGAAAGTCAGTTGGGATGATGAAATTCTCAACTAAATGGAAAAATAGTTAAAATAATCCAGTTATGTTCCAAACCACCAACCAGATAATCAGAATCTACCCCATTCTTTGCACATCTGAATCTATAGTAACCCCCTAGCCCTAAATGGTAAATCAGCAGATACCCCCTGGTAACTTAACATAACAATGGAAAATCACGGTTTTCATGCATGGCTTCCATAGCTATCCAGCACCAAAGGGATTCCATTCATATCCCATTCCCAGCACAAATCCATGGGGCATTCCATAGCTGAAGCTGTAAAAAAAACATGAAAATTGGTCCAAGCAAAAATGATACCATGAACATGTGGATTAAAATTAAAACCAGCATCGCACTGGTCTTTTTTTTTCGGCCACAAAAAAGACATGAAACTGTTTCACCAAGGATCTGCATGGTGGCCATGCGATTCTCCGCTTCCTGGAAAGGGGGAAAGGGGTCCTATTTTGTTCCATATTTGTTCCGAACGAAAAACTCTGGGAATCACATGGGCAAATCAGGAAAAGACCATTCACAACATTAAAAAATCAACGAATCCGTTTTGGGGGAATCATTGACACGAGCAAATGAACAACTTTTTTGGGGGGCTGAACAAATCGGGCTTGCAAAGAGCTAGATCCAACTAGATGTTCATGGTTGATGATGCATACTTTGCTTCGTTTATCTTTGGGGGACCCTGATCATTAACGTGGTGCTTTCAATGATGGGTTGCCGAAAGATGTGCAAATCTAGGACGAAGTCGGAGGAATCTCCCAAGACTGTTTGTTCCCAGTCGTCAGTCCAAGCTAGTCCTCCATAAACCTAAACAGTAACCAAGTGTCAACTCAGCTATCCTGGGGCCCAAGCATATAATCTGGGTAAATTAGAATAATTCACTAGTCACTAACCTGAATAGTTCGGCTATTCTCCGTGATGATTTCCCTAAAATAAACCCATGATTCCAGGCTTCGGTCGCAACAGAATTTGCCCCCCATGATTCGCATCCTCCGCGGAAGGGTTCACACACCAAAGGTTGGTTTCCAACCACCGCCTGCGATGGCTACTGGTGGCTACTGGTGGCTACTGCTGGCTACTGGTCAGGATTTACTAGCAACAGGGTGATAAATCCAACAAACATGTGATATTTATGAGATTCACATCATGGGATATAACCAACAATATGGGATTGAGGCGTGCCTGAAAATGTGGTATACCACCAAATGATAGCCATTTTCTTCAGGGAACATTATGATATTGAATTAGACAAACCGAAGAGTTGGATGATGGAAAAACATGAGTTTCTGATCAATGTTTCCTTAAACCAAGGATAGAAAACGTAGGGACAACATGTGGTGAACCCAATGATCTAAAATACCTGTTGTAGTCTATATATATATATATATGTATAAAGTCATACTATATCATAAGATATTAACATCATGAATTACTATTAATTAGGGTATGTATACAGCAACCTTCAAGCATCAGGGTGACCATTTGGTTTACTACAATACAGCCATAAAAAAGAGATATAGTAAAACAAGTCATCCTGTGACAATGGCTATGAAACAATTCATGGGAACCGTCACCATTGTTGATATTTAAAATATATCATACATTTAAAAAGTCACATTAAATATAGTTAAATAGTTACCCTCTGGTAAATTAACATAGACCCTGGCAGATAGGGGTTGGAAGACTAGTTTCCATTGAAAATTGGTGATTTTCAGGGTCTATGTTAATTTACTGGAGGGTAAATATAGTTAAATCCTATGGTGTTCCATGTTTTATTCACGATATGTCCGATATGTCTTCTGCGACCAGTGACCATCAACCAATCAGAGCAACATTAGTTTGGAGATAAATACCCTCCGGTAATCAAACATGGTTTGCTGGAAAATCATCAAAACCATTTAGATCGACGATTTTCCCAGCTTTTCTTACCTCCATTTATCCTTTATCGGGGGTTTTCGATTGCTACGTTTGATTGCCAGAGGGTATCTCCATCTATAACCCATTCTTTATCCATATTACATCATATTACCATATGTTTGTTCCATAAAATTATGTTCACCTATTCCCCATGATTAACCACCAAGCCGTCTTGGAATTTTGACAGATTTTCCTTATAGGTAAATCGGTAAATCCATACAAATCCCCATCAATTTCCCATTGTGTTTATCCCCAATAAAAATGTTAAATCCCCTTGAAGTATATAAGCATTACCATGCGATAAAAGAGATCACAGATGATTATCACAACTGTAATCCATTGAACCCAAAATGCCAACTATAATCTCAATCTTATGGAGTTCAATGGATATAAAGTCATCATAACAATTAACAAATCCAATTTTTAATCCATCAAAATCCATAAACATCAAATAATATGTAAATTATATATATATATATATCCTTGGGATTTCATTTAACAACCCCTTCAAAGGTAACCCTCCAAACAATTGGCCGACCAAAGATTCTTGAAAGACTCACGTTGACAGACCATGGGATGCCATGGACTGGAGGTGTCGGAAATTGCTAGCCCCAAATCCATGGCCATGCTGGCCAGGAACCGATTGATTGGAGGTACCTACCATATGTAAGGGCTATTTTTCAGACCTACGTTCTGGGAATATTCCTTACATTAGACCTTTTCATAGCTTTTCACTTGGATTCTGAGCCTCCACCCAAAGTGAAGACCCGGACCCTACGACGTCTCCCCTCACCTTGTGACCATTTGAAGTTCAATGGATTAATATGGATTGGTTTAAGGGAAAATCTATAGGACATCATATACTTTTTCCCATGAAATATAGGGCTTTCCGGTTTCACTCTTCCCTTCAACCAATCCATTGATAACTAAATTAGCTGGTTGGTGGTATACCTACCCCTCTGAAAAATATGAGTTCGTCAGTTGGGCTTATGAAATTCCCAATATATGGAAAAATAAAATCCAAATGTTCCTTAAACCACCAATCATATAGGAAACCCATGGTGACGACTGGGGATCCCCTATGACTTCAGAAAGCACCCCCAGCCGCGCGTCCGGGCCCGTTGGCAGGACAACTGATGGTGATCTCTTGTAAAGCACCGCCCCAGACGAAGGACCCCTTGGGGCAGCGTAAGGTATACCTGGGACCCGTTCGGTAGGGCTGATCTGGGACTGGGAATCATGTGGGGATTGGTTAGTTACTGGGAGTAATATGGGAATAATGTGGGAATAATCTGGGATCTGGGACTGGGAATATTACTGAATATTATATTCCGTTCATGGGATATGAATGAGATAGCAGATTTTTTTGGGGATTTCATGGGATTTCATGAGAATTTAAAATGGGATATGCATGTTGGTAAAATAATAAAACACATCCCCCAGTCATCACCATGTTGGTGGTACAATCTTACCATTCCCGGTGGTAAAAATATGTAAAGTTTTACCGGTCATGGCTGCTGAGGATCTAGGAACAAAGATGGGAAGATCAGGGGAATGTATCAAGATCATTGGGAAAATATTGGGAATATGATGGGAATATCACTGGGATGATCATGGAACATGAAGCTTCACGGATCTATCTTTTTGGCGATATTTCACATGATTTACTGGTTGGTGGTTTGAACCCCTCTGAAAAACATTAGTCAGTTAGGATTATTATTCCCAATGTATGGAAAAATAATCCAAATGTGCCTTAAACCACCAACCAGTGATATACCAGTGATTATTAACCATTATCAACCATCATTGACCATCATTAACCATCATTACCCCATGCGAAATGTTCCTTAGACCACCCATGAAGAATCGCAAATTCTGTTTTTTCTTTCCCTGGTCCTACTCTGTGGGGTCAACAGGATGGAAACCATCTCGTCATATGTCACTGATCCCAGAGATAGAACATAACAACTAGGTCAAAGCACCAGGTATGCGCATTTCATGTATAATAGGAATAACATATATAAGGGGTACAATATATTATATATATACATACATACAAATTGTATACAACAATACAGGACAGGGATGGACAGGGGTTGTGACTGAAAATAAGGATGGGCCGCCCAAAATGGAAATTTTCATGGGAAATGATGATTCACCCGTGGACTACGGGGTAGACCATGTTCAGACAAATGCATATGTCTGAGAGAATGGGCTACAACCCTCCTTCCGAATGGATTGCTATCACTTACTATCATCGTATTTCACATGAATAGATGATATCATGTTTTAAAATGTTATATATATATCATAGATTATATAAATATCATCGTATATACTATTCTAAATAGATTATTTAAAAGGTGAAATCATGCTACATATCATATACCTTCCTAAAAGTAACATCTTGAAGATGATCCACTGATGAAAAAAACAACAACCACTTCATTCCATGATCAGAGAGTTCCTATTGACGTCCGAAATCATGTTACCCTCTGGTATTTTGTTCCATAGCTATTGAAAATAGCACATAGAAATAGTTGATTTACCGAACTTAAAGATGGTGATTTTCCAGTTCGCAAACTGTTGGTTTACCAGAGGCTAATTTTTTTGCGAAAAAAAAACTGGGTGAAACATCCTGAAACATATCGGTGAAATCCGAAAAACCGTGGGACGTCGCCAATCGCCAGGAGGTCGAAAAGAGGTACCGTTGGTGAAATCTGAGGTATTAATTAATCAACATCTGAGGTATTTATGTAATATGTTAATGGGAATATATTCCTTATGATAGCAATCTGTTGGTTATTCCCATATCATTTCAACATATATTCTGTCATTTATATGGGAATAGTAATATGGAATATCTTACTGTAGGTATAATATCTGAGGTATAATATGGAAATAATATGGAATAATATGGGATATATCAACATTTATATGGGAATAATATGGAATAATATCTGGTTGGTGATATACCTACCCCTCTGAAAAGTATGAGTTCGTCAGTTGGGATCATGAAATTCCCAATATATGGAACAATATGATCCAAATGTTCCTTAAACCACCAACCAGATATGCTAAGACCAGAGCTAGCAGCTATATCCATGGTGCACCACAGAAATCCTCATAGCTTTTCAATGGATATAAATGGCTTGTACGTAAGACAACATCTTTGTGCCATATCTTAATCCTAGATTTACTGGTTCTGCTGCGACTTGATGGCCACTGGAGAAAGCACATTCTTCCAAGCTGGGCAGTGGTCAGGCGCAACAAGTTGTGTCGAATGAGAAATTCGAAGAACTCCAGATTAGTCCAGGTTGGATCCTAGTCCAAGTCATCTGCCACCTGGATAGCTTTTTCAGGTACGTAGCCCGAAAATCGCCCAATAGCACAATAGCTGACCTCGTGAAAAGCAGCGGTCAACCAGCCGCAACATGCTGTTGGCTGTTGGGAATTGCCGTTTTGGATCACCTAACATTGAAAATGGAACATGG